AGAGAGGCAAGGATGAAGGGAGGAAGAAGTAAGCATGTAAGCACACATATAAACTATGCCACATGGGCATGTAAAACTTGTATCTGAGTTAGGTTGGTTTTAGATTGAGCTCAGAGTGTTTCAGAAAACTATGGGACTTTCTTTGTGACTATAAGCTCATAGATCTCTGTGACCCTCAGGAGGGCAAGGGAAATATAAGATGTGTCAGGCCATCAAAGTTCAGAGCCTAAGGTGCTGAGACCAGATCTTGGAGTAAAGGGCAAATAATAGCAATTGACCCATGAATTTGGCTTTAGGAATGTTCCATCTCAGGGTTTGAGGGAATGTGTGAGTGCTTTCTTTTCATTCCACCACCAATGATACTCCACCCACCTCTCTTCCATTCATGTAAAAAGAGTTAGAAGGTATGAGCATCCCTTAGGTGCCATTTTGAAATGAGGGCCATGCAATATTCTGCTGGGACTGATAATTCTCAGCGCCCAGGAAATCTAAGTCCTAGAATTATCATATAGAAAGCCAACCATGGGAAGAGGGAAAAGTTAGAGGTTAAAAATGGGGTACATATTCTCATTGATGGTGTACCATGAAACCAGTGTAAAGAAATTAATGATCCAGTTTTCGTAGAGGCTGGATATCCAGATGGATGAACCATTAAGGATCAGAACCTATGGGGCTGAGACCAAATCTTGGAGTCAAGAGCAAATAGCAAGTCCCGAGGCCCAAACCAAGGAACCTGCTGCCTTTCTAGTTAGCATTACTAGTCAGAACCCCATAAAATGATGAGCTGGAGTTATTAGATGAATCACTTAACCTCTTAGCCTTTGTTTCATCTGTAAAATGAGGAGTTTGGGCATGATGGTTCCTTCCAATTCTAAATACATGATCCTATGAAGAGTCTATTTATTATTATAATATGATCCTATGAATTTGGGCAGAATCCAAATTAGTCTTACCAACACAACCCAACTTTTCTTCCATAATCTAGATATTCCAGGGAGAAGTGTAATTTGTTAGCCCAAGTGAACCAGAAAATCATGCTTTTGTAGTTCTGTTAGATGACAGGAGTCATTACTCTTGGTTTACTTCTTTGAGAGCTACTCGCAGGAAGATATAACATTCTGTTCTTTCATTTTATTCTGGGACCAAACCAACCACTAAAAGGTTATTGTCTTTAAACATTGTCATACCTTTCCCACATGACCAGAAACTCAGACTCCTTTACATTGATAGTCTCAGGCTTTTTCTCCTTTACAGTTATAGAGGAAGCAGATTGCATGAGAAAATGCTTCTTTGGTCATATAGGTTTTGTGGTGGGAGTTGTGCAAGAAGGGGAGAAGCTGGAAAAGGAGTGGCCCAAATTTTCCTAGCTTTTGTCGTGATTTATGTTTCCCTCTATTATAAAGCAAAATTCTTGTCTTCAGTTAATAGACTTCATAGTAAAAAGGGTTCCACTTTAAGTAGAGATAAATTAGTAAAAGGGTAGGAGGAAGGGTGGGAAAAATATTGTCTGGCTGAATACAAACAACAACAGGGAAAAGGACAAGGTGTTTCCCAAAAGAGCCCTGCTTCCTGATCATCTTTGACTTATCATTGATCTGGCCAGCCCTGAGAGAGGACAGTTTTAAAGCAGGTAAAAGTTCCATCCATCCAGATCCATCACTATTCCTCATTCCTGATCCATCACTATTCCTTGTTAGTCAGAAGGTCCCTTCTTCTTCCCTCTACCCACACCATAGGTCTTGACATGGGATTTCACTCTCCCCCTGCCCCCAATTAATCTATACTGTGTCAACCAGCTACTCCTCAGTCCTTGGTTCTGTTTTCTGGAGTAGTACAATCCTTTTCTGGTTAGATATCAGGTACATTCTGGATGAAACTACCACACTGATTTCAAAGCTATCAAATAGTCAGTAACCAGTCAAGTCTCATAAGCCCTATATAAAAATGACAGAAATAAAGGAGAAATTAAATAAGTGGACAGATATTCAGCATGCACATCTAGTTCAAACCAACCTAGTAAAGACAAAAGGGACTGCTCAAATCAGTGCTTGGATTGTCAAGAATTAGAACCAAAAACTACACAGGTTAGTGTTAGATAAAGGTGAATACAAAAATAGGGAAAGTAATGATTAGTAAATAGAAACTGTTAGGATATTTGGATAGCAGCATGACAAATCTCACTTATAACAATAAATTCCAAATGAATAAATTAGCTAAATATTTTTTAAACTTTCAAAATTAGGAAAATATGCCATAATATAGTTTTCACATTCATGAAGGAGAAAGATGAATCTGATAGGCTTCTAATTTGTGTTCCTGCCTGATCTCTTCTTCCACTCTTGCCTCTGCAGTTGCCAAAGTGAATTCCCTTAAGCACAGATCTAACCATATCATTCTCTTAATAAATTACAGCAGCTCTTTATCACCTCTTAAGATAAATTATAAGATGTTCTGCTTAACTTTTTAAAGCTCTTTACAACTTGACCACGACTTGTTTTTCTAGCCTCACTGTACAGAACTTTCCCTCATGAACTCTGTGATTTATCTAGTCTGATGTTCTCTCTACTCCTCCCATCTTCATATGCTTTGCCTTTGCATTGGCTGTTCCCCATGCCTGCAATATACTTCCTCCACATCTTCACTTTTTAGCATCCCTTTTTTCCTTCAAGACACAACTCAGGTATCACCTTCCACGTGAAAATCTTCCTGATCCCTAAAACTGCAAATGCTCTTCCTGCCTACGCTGATTTCATTTTAATTTCTCCTCTTTACATTTATCACGTACCTATTTACATGTATAAGTACCTCTTGTTTCTGTGTTAGAATGTAAGTTTCTTACAAGTAGGAATTATTTCATTCTTTGTGTTTCTAATGCTAATGCCTAGCATGGTGTCTGATACATAATAGATGCTTAAAAATCCTTGTTGATATGTTGAATGCTTGTTGACAATGAAGCTAATCTCTAGTGCATGAGATTACCAAAAGGCTAAGCATAGAGAAGGAAGGAAAGGCAGCTAGAGACAAACTGGAGGCATATGCTTAGAGATTGGAAAGAGAAAGTGGAACCAGGGACAAGAGATGAAATGGGAGCTGTCATAAAGGTGGGAGGATGTAGCAGAGAAGAGTGTCATAGAAGTCAAGAAAGACAGGAAAAATCAAGAAAGAGGAGAATGTTAACAGAGCCAAGTGTTCCAGAAATGAACAGAATGAAGACTGAGAATGGGCCATTGGGTTTGAAAATTATGCAGTCACTGATGAATTTGGAGAGATGAGTTTCAATGGCATGGTGAAGATGGAAGCCAAATTACAGTGGATGAAGGAGTGAGATGGCAGTGAGAAAGCAGACAACGTGAATGTAGACTGTTTTCTAAGTTTAGTAATGAAGGAAATATTAGAAATAAGATGAGAAGTTGAGGGGGTAAATGTTTGAGGGGAAATTTTTTAAATTTTCTTATTGTTTCTTTCTATGGGTAATTTGAGCATGTTTGTATGCAGAAATAAAGACACCAGTAGGGAAGAAAGGCAGAAGATGAAAGGAATCTAGGGGCTCAGTAGACCTATATGCCAAAGAAATAAAAAAAGAGAAAAGGACTTATATGGTAGACAAAAACTGGAAAATGAAGAAGTGTTCTCTGATTGGGGGGAATGGCTAAACAAACTGTGGTATATGAATGTCATGTAATATTATTGTACCATAAGAAATAGCGAAATGGATAATTTCAAGTGAATCTGAGAAGACCTTCATGAACTGATGTAGAGTAGAGTGAGCAGAAATAGGCGTACAATTCATACAATGATAACATTATAGAGAAAAATAACTTTGAAAGACTTCAACACTTTGATCAACATGATAAACCCAGAGTCCAAAAGAATGAAGATGAAATGTGCCTCTTCTTCTGACAAAGAGATGACGAATTTAAAATGAGGAAAGTGACGTGTACTTCTAGGAATGACTAAAGTGAAAATTCATTTTACTGGACTATGCAGCTACGTATCAAAGGCCTTTTTCTTTTTTAAATTTGCTCAGTGGGGGAGGGGTGGTAGGAGAAACACATTAATTTTTTAAAGATACTAGTTAATTGAAAAAATAAGCAAAACATCAATAACAAAGAAGTAAAGCCAGAGCCTTCACTGACACTGTCAGAAACATTTCATAAGATCCTTCAATCTTAAATAGAGAGTAGATTTGAAAGTAAAAAAGCAGCTAGGTGACATAGTTAGGCAGGCTCATTTTTGTGAGCTCAAATCTGGCCTCAGAAACTTTCTAGCTGTGTGACCCTGGGCAAGTCACTGTTTCCCACAGTTTCTTCATCTATAAAATGAGCTGGAGAAAGAAATGGCAAACCACTCCAATACCTTTGCCAAGAAAAACCCAAGTAGCATCACAAAGATTCACCTGCTACAATCTTTTTAAGATTGAGCAACAAATTGAAAGTAGAGCTGGGGCCGATAGAATTTAAATTCCTAGAGGGACAGGTATTGTTTAATTTTTAATCTTTGTATCCCCCAGTGTCTAGCACAGTGCCTGCAGGGAACATAGGTTAATAAATATTTAATAAATATATGTTTTTAAAAAGGTAGTGTGTGTGATGGATAGAGTAGGTTCTTAGAGAAAATGAAAATGGTAGTAAGGTAAAGGGTATGGGTGGAATAGTTAGCCTTGGTAAGAAAGAGGGTTGAGATTATGAATGACGTTAAAGGACTGAGAAGTCTGCTATGCATAAGTTACTTACTGTGCCAAATGCTGTCAGTTCACTAAGCTGAGTGAAACACAGCCCTCTGCTTCAAGGGGTTTCAACCCTAGGTCTCCGCCCTGCCGGCCCTTTCCCAGGACCCTACATCCTGCAGGTAAAGATGATTAGCAGTGACTCATTGAGGCTGTGGTTGAAACCTTGGTTCTTCGATCATTTCCTTTTTCTCTAAGCCACAGAACTGCGTCATTTAAATGGTTTTGTGACTGTACACTGGTGCCCAGCTTAGGCATATATGGTCTTAACTAGGAAGGCTGTAAGATTACTTGAGCATCTCCTCTCCTTCCCCTTGTAGGGGCTACAAATTCTGGGGATTTGGGGATAAAAGCAGTACTTGCTTTGGATACCTTCGCTGGCAAGATGCATTTCCTGTTACCCCTCTTACTGACCTTCCTTCAATCTGCTGGTGCTAGGGCTGGTGAGTTCAATTTCCCATCCTAAAGAGTTTGAGTTTGACCAAAAAAAGCCTCTATCCTTCCTCTGCTAAGTACCTAATCCTCCCAGGCCTGCTGTAGATCCCTGGCCTCAAAACTGTTCATTGAGGAGTACCGGTCTTGGACCATCCCCAGGGTCATGCTAATCTCACCTTAGATAAAAAGTAGGGGGTATTGGGAGAGGATTTTCCAAAGGTCTTTGAGTCTTTGTCTGCCTGAAAAAATTAGTCCTGTCATTTTAATCTTTGAGTGTTTGAAGTACTATTCGTCTTGACAAAGGACTGACCTCTCCCTTTTTTTGGGGGGGGAGGGGATGGGACCTGGGGAGGGAACATAATACTCAGAACAACCAGAGGGCACAGGAGTCCAGGATCTTAGTCCTCTAGCTTCTCCTGTAGAACTTGGCATTCTACCTCCCATACCTTTTGTAAGCCTTCTCCAAGCCCCAAGTCTCCCTTGTTGCAGCTTTCTGGAGAAGCCAGGAAAATGAGGACTGTGTCTTCTGTAAGGCTCACAATGGAGTTTCTTCTATAGGGGCGATCATTGGAGGCCGGGAGGCAAAGCCCCATTCCAGGCCATACATGGCATATCTGAAGTACAAGAATGAAATTGGAATAGAACGTATTTGCGGTGCTTTCCTGGTTAGAGAGAACTTTTTGCTGACAGCAGCTCACTGCTGGGGAAGGTGAGTCATCAGATCAGGGTCCCTACTCTTTGCCTTTGACAGCCCTGCAGGCTCTGAATGGGGACAGCAGGGTATCCAGGAAAGATCCTACAAGGTATGCTCCCCCTTTCTCCCCAAATTCCTATTCCCTTCATAAAGAAGGAACTTCATGAACTCTTCAGAAATTAACCTGGCAACTTCTCAACATCCTGTAGCCCTGACATGATGTACTTATGGATAGAGTCAGCTCTATATGGAGGCTGAATAGGTGGTTCATTATGTGTGGTGTCCTAAAGACTGGGAAGGATCCTATTGTTAAAGAAGTAGTTTTGGGGGTGGCAGAAGTGGGGTAAAGAAGGTAATAAGCATTTATATAGCACCTACTATGTGCTGGGAGCTGTGTTAAGTACTTTATAATATTATCTCATTTGATCTTCATAACAGCCCTATGGGAGGTAGATTATTCTGCTATTATCTCCATTTTTATAGCTGAGAAAAATAAGGCAGACTTGTCCAGGGTCACTAGCTAGTAAATGTTGGAGGTCCAATTTGAACTAGAGTTTTCCTGATTCCAGGTCCAGAACTCTATCACCATATCACCAACCTGCCTAGCTGACTAGCCTTCCAGAGAGCATAAAATTCCCATTACATCTATCTTTGCATCTGGGCTTTATCTTTTCATTAAAAATGTGTGGCCCAGAGGGGTAACTCATTAACCCAATACCAGAAAGTTTATTACTGAGAAAGGAGACACCAAGCCGGACCCTGCCTGTTAAAAGCAGGTCTGGATCTGCCTCCAGCTCTTCTGTGGGGGCTTCTGGGAGCAGCATCCCGTCTTGAGACATAACAGTCAAAATTGTGTGAATTCCAAGGGCCATCCATGACCCTGAGAGCCACTGACCCTCCAAAGGTGGTTAGAGGTACCACTAAGGGGGAGGACATCTAGTAATGCAACTTCAGTCCTTTCCTTCCTGGACCTCTTTCACTGTGGTGATGGCAGCTGCCACATCTCTTTAGCTCTGCCTGAGTCTATGCTAGAGGCTCAAGGATCATGGGATCACAGATCATCTCTCTAGAAGTAGAAGGACCTCAGTGATTACATGATGCAACCTCCTCCTTTGACAGATGAAGAAACTGATGCCCAGAGAAGTTTATTAACTTGACCGAAGTCAGAAAGTAAAATTGGGATGAACATTGATATCCCTTGAGTGCAAATATGGCATTCTTTCCCCATCACTAAGCTGCATGCCTCTCTAACACCTTTCCAGGAATTTCACCTCTGTGACTCTCCTTCCCTTGTCTTCTTTTCAGTTGAATAAGTATCATTCTGGGGGCACATAACATACAGAAGCCAGAAAAGACCCAGCAGCAGATTCCTGTGCTCAGAGCTATTCCTCACCAACTATATGACAACCAGACCTTCAAAAATGATATTATGTTGCTTCAGGTACTGTGCCCTTCATGATTTATATCCTTTGGGTCACCAGGAATAGAAGCCTCTCAGACTTCCAATTAGAGAGAGACTTTTTCCTATCCCCTCAAACTTTCTCCATTTCTTTATTCAGCAAGAAGGGTGTGGTTCTAGTGGGATCCTAGACTAGAAGACCGGGAGGTGGGAAGAAAGAGGAGACCCATGGCTGGCTCTATGTGTGCTCTCTTGGGGAGAGAAGTGAGGAGAGCTGGAATCTCTTTCCTCTCTATGACAGCTGAAGAAGGCCAAGATGAACAAAGCTGTGGGGCTCTTGGCCTTACCCCGGAAGAAGGACAGGGTGAGGCCTGGGAAGACTTGTAGTGTGGCAGGCTGGGGTAGTAACCTTGAGAAGAAATTCTCCACACTGCAGGAGGTGAAGTTAACAGTGAGAAAGGCACGGGAGTGCATGGACAAATACCCCAAACACTATAACAATTCTACTCAGCTATGTGCTGGAGATCCTAAAGACCAGAAGGCTTCTTTTAAGGTACTTCAATATCACTACTATTTTGAAAACTGTTTTGAAATCATGTGGGAAAGCTCAGAATCTGAAGTATAAAAAGGTTTTCACAGTTCACAGGGAACTGCCATGATCCCCCATATTCCGGTTTCCAAAGGCAATTGGGAAACTAGATGGTGTAGCTGATATAGTGTAGGACCTGGAGTAAGAAGAAATTCAACCTCAGATGCTTAATAAGACATTGAGAAAGTCACTTAATCGCTCCGAGCCTCAGTTTCCTCATCTGTAATATGAGGATAATAATTACACATTTTTCTATAATATGAGGATAATAATAATAATAATAATAACCTATCTCCTAGGATCATTGTGAGGATAAAATGAGAGACTTGTAAAGAGTTTTGGAAACCTTGAAGTGCTGCTGTTGTTGTTGTTATCATCATCATCATTATTATAGTTACCCTTTCTCTCCTGAGCACATGGTGGTATAAATGTACACATTTGGGAGAATGTGAGATTGTCTCAGTGCAACTTCATATTAAGTAACTCTTGGGAAGAGTGAGAGAGATCAATGGCTTCCTTATAAATTGAGATGGGCACCTGAACTTCATGAAGACTGGGAGATGCATGCTTCGGCCTCAGGTCTCTCCAAATCTGGTGGGGTCCCTCAGTACCTTGATGGGAAGAATTGAAGGATAAAGAAGGAGGGCCTCTGAATAACTGTCAATCTTCTTTCTTTTAGGGGGACTCTGGAGGTCCTCTTGTGTGTGATAGAGTGGCCCAGGGCATTGTCTCCTATGGTTTTCGAGATGGGAGAAACCCTCGTGTCTACACTCAGATCTCCAGCTTCTACCATGGATCAAGAAAACAATGAATGATCAGGAGTACTAAGCACCAGGCGAGGTCCTGCTTCCAAGACTGGATCATTCTCTCTGGTGACACTGTTCCCTAAAGTGGCCTCCAATTACAGAGCCTAAAGCCAAGAGGGATGCTTGGGAAAGGAGGACCTTGTCCTAATAAACCTGGTTGCTAATTTGCAGTTGTAGCCATTATCTTTTTTCTTTCTTTTCCATCATCTCTGCCTCTGTAGACATGTTCACACAGTTGTAAAACAATATGGCTTGGAAAATCTTAGAAATCATGTGATCTAAGTCCTTTTATTAAACTAGGTGATATAGAGCCCTTCGTGATAACACCTCTTGTCATTAATGTTAAGGAAAAGTTTAGAGACAGGGCTAGAGACTTGGAGAAACTTAATCTTTCCAGCAACAAAAGAAATCCCGCCAAATTTTTGACTAGGTCCTGTCAGTAGTCAAGTTCCTAGGCACATGGTTGTCAGTCACTTACCCTTTACCCTACTACCAGGGCACTTTATCTGGGAGCATGATTTAATCATAATAGGTCATTCATATGGCTCTCATTCACTTATCAGGAATGAAAAGGAAGAGAAGGGAAAGGAAGAGAAGGGAAGGGAAGAGAAGGAAAAGGATCATAAAGGAAGGGAAGGAAAAGGACAGAAAAGGAAGGGAAGGAAATAAGCATTTATTAAGGACTTACTATGTGCCAGGAAGGCATTATGCTGAGCACTTTAGATAATTATTTAATTTGATCCCTACAACAACTCTCTGAGGAAAGTGCTATCATTGCTATCATTATCTCCATTTAACAGATGAGGAAACTAGGCAGGCAGAGAGTAAGTGATTTGCCTAGAATCACCCAACTAGTAAGTGCCTGAAGCTAGATTTGAACTCCAGACTTCCTGACTCTAGGCCTAGAACTCTATCCACTGCACCATCAAGCTGCTTCTATCAGTACTTTCAATCATTTTCCCCCTCTTAATTTTTTATTGATGCCTTTTTACAAAAATACAATAGTCATTTCCTAATATGCTACTTGGCCCCTGAGTACTTTCTAGTAACAAAGGAAAGAGACTTATCTAAAAATGACTAATAGTCACAAAGTCTCAAGTTCTGTACTTTTTTTTGCACACATCACCTATCTCTACCTTGTGGAGAGATGTCCTGTTCTCCAGGACCAAAGTAATTCACTGCAATTAATCTAAGTTCAATCACTTTTTACTATCATTTTCATTTATATTACTGTAGTCATTGTTCATATCATTCTCTTGCTTCTGCTTGCTTCTTTTTATATCATCTTATAAAATTTCCCATATTTCTCTGAATTCCTCACATTTGTTGTTTCTTACAGGATGACATTGCACAACATTCATGCACTTATTTGCACGGCTATTTACCAAATGAAGAAGACACTTTTATTCCTTTCCACTCACCATATTATTTCATAATTTATTAATTGTCTCAGTGGTCAGGTTAGCAAAAGGCTTAATCTTTTTATTTTTAGGGCAATTGGGGTTAAGTGACTTGCCCAGGGTCACACAGCTAGTAAGTGTCAAGTGTTTGGTCTGAGGTTGGATTTGAACTCAGGTCCTCCTGACTTCAGGGCTGGTGATCTATCCACTGTGCCACCTAGCTGCCCCTCAAAAGGCTTAATCTTACTAGATGACAGTATCCAGTAAAAATAAAAATGCTGGCCCCCTGTGTCACAAACCCCATGGCAAAACCAAACCCCAACATTAGAGTCTCTTGCCTTGACTTGAAAATCTTCCAAATTACAAGTCTTAGAAAGGCAACCAGGAAAGTTCATTTACTTAAAAAAAAATTCTAACTGCATACATTGTAGAAGCAGAAGAATAGAAGTCAATCACATTACTTAACTCATGACAATTATTAGAGCTTAAAGGACCATTATGTAGTACAGAGGATCAAACAGTGAACCTGGAGTCAGGGAAGACCTGAGTGCAAAATGTCCTTAGATACTTACTTGCTGTGTGACTCTGGGCAAGTCACTTCAGCTCTGTCTACCTCAGTTTCCTCAACTGTAAAATGAAGACAGTAATAATATCTTCCCCCCCAGGGTTGTTGTGAGGACCAAAGTAGATAATATTTTAAAGTACTTTGGAAACCTTAAAAGGCACATACAAACATGTAAATATGTATACACACACACACACACACACACACACACAATTAACACAAGGTAGTTTTGCAGTATGTTAACTGATTCTATGTCTAGTATGCTATACATCTAGACGCAAGATAAAGCTCAGGATTTAGAGAACCCAGTATCTCCCCCTAATTCTATCAGTCCTTCATAATCTAACTAAATGCTTTGTGAAGTCTTCCTTGATCTCCACATCTCCAAGTCAGACATTATTTCTCCCTTCTGTGAACTTAGCACTATGTACTTTTATGGATGCTGATCACATATAGAAGCAGATAGGTGGTGCAGTAAATACAGTCTCTCTCTTCACCTTTGTCTGCCTTAGTTTTCTCAGTTATAAAATGGCCATAATAATAGCACCTACCTCCCAAGGTTGTCTTGAGGATCAAATTAGATATTTGTAAAGCACTCTGAAAACCCTAAATGTCTATATAAATATAGCTATATAGTTATATAAATATATATTTTATACACAAATATAAATAGCTATTATTACCATGTTCTACAATTAAAATTATAGTTATGTGAGTTCAACTCCTAACTGCCTTGTAGATTTCGGGAGGGCAGGGAAAACTCTATTTTTCATTGCTTTCCTCTCATAACTTAGGACAGTACTCTGCTTCTACTAGTACTATATAACTTAGGGCAATACCCCATTTGAACTATATACTGTGTAGTAAATGAGTGAAAACCCGCCAGCATCTCCCTGCTCCGCCTTCACTCCCAAGAGAGTTCCTTGTATAGACTAAAGATGTGAATTCCATATTCACATGTATGACCACTCCTTTATTCTATTTCCAGTAGCTAAGCTGCTGAATTCTCCTTGCTTCAAGAGCTGGAGACCCCATGGACAGTCTGGTGAAGCCTATGGGCCCTTCTGAGAATAATGTTTTTAAAGTAATTAATTAATCAATCAATCAATTAATTAATATATTCTTTGCATTACAAAGAAGACAATTATTTTGTAATAGTTATCAATAGGCATAAGTTCATGAACTTCAATTAAAGCATACTGAGCTATATAAGAGGAAGAGATCAGTAGTCCTTAAAACTCTGAGTATTTAGAAGGTAAAAGGATCAAATAAGATAATATTTTTAAAGCACTGAGCAGAGTGCTCTATATAGTAGGCCCATAGTAGTTCTACATAAATTCTTATTCCCTTCCTTCCCCCCCACCCCCAAGAATTAAAAGATCAGGTAAGAAAGTGTAATCATTTGGAGATAAGCAGGAACTTTCTTTTTTTTTTCATTTTTGATTAATTTATTTTGATTTATCAACAATCACTTCCATATGCTTTTGAGTTTAAAATTTTTCTCCCCCTCCTTTCCCACCACCCTCCCCAAGATGGCAAACAATCTGACATAGGCTATACATATACATTCCTACTAAACATATTTTTGCATTAGTGATGTTGTAAGAAATAGAACCAATAGGAGGAACCACCAGAAAGAGGAAACAAAACTCAACAGAAAATAAAAATAACAAATAGCATGCTTTGATCTGCATTCAAATTCCATAGTTCTTTCTTTGCATGTGGATAGCATTTTCTATCATGAGGCCTTTGGAGATGTCTTAGATCCTTGTATTGCTGGGAAGGGTTAAGTTTATCAACATTAGTCATTGCACAACGTGGCTGTTATTGTGTACAACGTTCTCCTGGTTCTGCTTACTTCACTCAGCATCAGACCATACAAGTGTTTCCAGGTTTTTCTGAAGTCAGCCTGTCATTTATTTCTTATAGCACAATAGTATTCCATTACATTCATATACCACAATTTGTTCAGCCATTCTCCAATTGATGGGCATCCTCTCAATTTCCAAATCTTTGCCAGCACAAAAAGAGCTGCTAAAAATATTTTTGTACATGTGGGTCCTTTTCCCATTTGTGTGATCTCTTTGGGATATAGCCCTAGAAGTGCTGTTGCTGGGTCAAAGGGTAAGCACATTTTTATAGCCCTTTGGGCATAGTTCCAAATTGTTCTCCAAAATGGTTGGATCATTTCACAACTCCCCCAACAATGCATTAGTGTTCCAATTTTCCCACATCTTCTCCAACATTTATCATTTTCTTGTTTTGTCATGCTGGCCAATCTGATAGGTGTGATGTGGTACCTCAGAGTTGTTTTGATTTGCTTTTCTCTAATCAATAGTGATTTAGAACATTTTTTCATATGACTATAGATGGCTTTATTTTAAGCAGGAACTTTCTAATGTATGCACATTCCAACTCTCACCTGCTCTGTGACAAGCCAGCTCTTCATATACTAGTAGAAAACTCACATCTTTAGAAACCACCTATAAATCTAGGTCATTCAGCCTCTTCCAGTCCATCTTTCCACAGGGCTATAGCTGGCCATTTAACCTTTTTGCTGAAGTCTCCCCTTGCTGGTTCCCTTGATTTGAATAAACCTCAAAGTTTGAGAACTCCTCATTGTCATCAGCAGTGGTTTAGAAAGAGAAGAGCAGGATTTGAGGTACTTAACTGCCTGATACTCACTGGAGCCCCTTCTATGCCTTTGATCAATGTGAATTTTTAATGGTTTTCTTTAGAGAATAATAATATCTTACAACTTATAAAGCTTTTCTAACATATATTATTTTATTTGACTTACACAACTACCTGTGACAGAAGAAAGTCTTCCTGACTCTACAACTAGCAAGATATCCACTGAACTTTCATTATCTTCACTACAGACATGAAGAAACAGAAGCCAGTAAAGGTCAAATATCCCATCTCTAAATCAATGGTACATCAGCTGTGACCCTTCATCCAACCCCAACATCTGGCCATTAAGGATGATAAAAAGAGAACAGTGAACTCAAAAAATTCAATCTTCCAGCCTTCTCCCCATCACCATGGCAATTTTCCTTTTCATTGCTAGAGAAACCCTTTAGTCTTTGGAAGTGAGAGCCCTGAGCTCCTGCCTGTTCTCTTGTACCACAATAGCAGTCCATCAGCAAGGGCAAAGGACCTGGGGGACATGAATTCACTTTCTAT